AAAAGGTCTTGTGTATTCACACGAAACTGATCATTGTTTGTCGTAGACTGCGAGCAGTAAAAAAATGAGAGACTGCTCGTAGTCTATGTTTGTCGTGTTTGCTGCGGGAGCAAGAACAGTAAAAATGTTTCATTTCGCTCGATCATGATATCACTTGAAGAAAGCGTCTCAACTTGACAATTTCCGGTAAACAAAGTAATTAAGTTCGGACCATGCTGAGAAGCCCCGTACTTGCGATTGGTCACGTATTGACAGTGACATTATCGGATTAGTTGAGAAAATGGTGGGCGGATTACAAAAACACCGACTCTTATAGTAGGCGCTCCCTTCCCTTTCCCCTCTTTCGTGCTTTTCTCCCTCCCCCTCTCCCTCCCCTTTTTGCGCCTGTCACGCAGGCTACAAAAGCATTATGTATATCAAACGTTGCAAACAACAAAAACGAACTTTGAAAAACCTTTTTTAAAACAAACAATTATAAACCGTTTCAATCTTCTTCATGTTTGTCCATTCATGCGTCCTTTTGTATTTGCTGTGTTTTCATACCTTATGTTAGTGTTTTGAGGCTTTATTTTATGTTTTACTCACTTTGCTGGCAGCTCTCCCTTTTTGAATTATAATACATTTCGTGCCACAGCTCCTGTAAGCCAATGTTCAGCCTATAGTTTTCTGGGTAAGTACCCTGGCAAAAAGCTAACCCTATAAAGAAGCTAAGCTTAATTTCAAGGAGGCACACTGTTGAGGTTAATAATAATAAATAATAAATATAGTTTATTTCACTTTCTTGCAGTTAAAAAATACTGAATGAACAAGTGATATGTATACAATCCAAAAGATACAACTTAACTACAGCAGGAGTATACAGTTGTACTAGTAATCATAATGTAAAAAATTCGTCGGCTCTCTTAGTTCTTCTTAATTTGTTTATTGTTCTTTGTATTATAACAGACAGATCTTGTTTCAGTTTTGAGAATGAGGAATGATTATTGTGATTGCTAGCCACATCACAGACAAATCGACGACACAGGGAAACCCTTCTATTTGCTAGAGATGAGACTTTTGCCTCTAAAAGGGCTTGATTATAGGCTGTGCATTCAGGATATATAATTCTGAGTGCTCTCTTCTCAATACATTCTATCCTATCAGACGTTTTGCGGCTTTAGCAATGATACAGTCTACATGTGAGTTCCATTTAAGATCTTCCTTAATAGGTACTCCGAGTAGTTTGTATGTCTTCACAGTCTCAACTACTTGCTTCCCAATACAAACAGGTCTCATCAGTACAGTGTTAGGATTAGCCATCACCTTACTTTAGCATCGTTGCACATTAATTTCTGTCACGCGTACGTAGAGCCTTTCTGCCATGATACGCGCATCAAATGTCGTGGCATTTCCACTCGTAACTCACCCAACTTAGCCTGAGAAAACAACCAACATTTCGCGACGCCACCACTGGTTTCCCCGCGAAATGACGCCTGAGAAACGAGCGCAGAAATTCCATACTGATGACGTGTCACTACCCAAATCTGGGTAGTACTCTTCTGATTGGTTAAAAATTTGCCTTCACCAATCAGAAGTACTACCAAGATCTGGATAGTGACGAAAATCAAAATCCATCCCCGATGGGACCCGAAGTAGCTCTCTGAACGGTGGTGTACACGTGCAAGTTATGGAGTGAAATACCTTGTACAACACTCAGGGATCGTACAGAGCATCAATTTTCAGAAATTTTCCAGACCTGAAAAAGTCTCGAACATGGAGATGAAGTCTGAAAAAATAGTAAAAAAAAATTTGAGTTTTTTTTTTTTTTCAAAGCTACAACAAATAGTGCTTGATGAGTGAAATGTTTTTCGTTTTGGTCAAATCTTATTTAATTTCGCCCGTTTGTTTGCAGCCTATCATGAAAAAATCTTTGTTCCTGCGTTTTTTTAAGGTCTCTGTTGATCACTTACCTATTTGATAATCTTGAGTCTGGTAAAAGAAATTATTGTTTTGGAAAAAAGTCTTGAAAAGTCTTAAATTTATTTCCTGGTATCTGTGCAAAGGATGAACGGTAGTTAAAAAAAAGGATCAGCTAGTGATTTTTGGAAGTAAAGCAGCGGTGGTAAAACGGACACCGAAAAGAATTGTTACCATTCCTGCCCCATTGGTTCGTTGGAGAACTTCCATGCGAACGCAGGCGTCTAGAGATTTAGAATCACGTTTACAGTTAACGCCATTTGGAAACATGTTGCTAAGCTTTCTCTTTATTTGTCATTAAATGTTTATCTTTACTACCCCAAAATAAAGACATTCATGTCAGGTTTATCCGTAAGGATAATTTAATTTTCTCAGTTTTTATCTGTTGATTGTTGATTTCCTAACTTGAGTAATTGTAATACTTGAACATGATGTTTCGACTTTGTCGTCAACGTAATTCTACGATTCCGAATCGACGGGAGTGATCGTGGCAGTAACTTTTATGAGACCAAATTTATGGATTCCAGTCGTTGAAAGGAAAATCGAGAGTCACGGCAAACGGCAAACATTCAGACCCAAGGTGACATTTTCGATTTCTTGAGATAGGAAATGAACAGGTACAAACTTTGCAAAATAATTGTTATGGATTAGACTGATCGACATGAAACTACTAACTTTTTTGTGCAGATACAACAACTGAATCGGCTTCTGACGAAAACTGCGCAAGGGTGGTGCAGTGGTGAGGGCTCTTGCCTCGCTTCCCCCGGGTGGGGGGTGGAAATCCCTATAATGGCCTTTATGGTGAGGCTCCGACCGAAAGGGGTACCTTTTTCATGCTTCAGGTATATGAAAGGATAGGTTTGTTGTTGGTTCTCTTCCTTGCCGATAGGTTTTTCTTAGGGTGCTCTTGTTTTCCCCTCTCTCCAAAAACCAACCTTTCCACATTCCAATTCGATCCGCAAGCAACGTACGGACTCGTTTAAGCGAGTTCTTAATAACTTCTAAGTGCTCCGTGGGAAAACAAATTACAAATTATAATTTTAGTTATTTATTTTTTAGAATGATACTTTGGTCACGTAAAAATTGACGTTGCCGTTTGACCTGAATGGATTCTAAATCTCTCCGATATTGTAGGAAATATTTTTTGTTAAAGAGCAAATAGATAATTAAGGATAAACACGAATTTGCTATGTCAATACGCTTTATTTTAAGAAACTTGGTGAGATTATTTACAGATTACAATCAAACCTCCATGTGCGACCTTCTCGGATACGCGACATGCTGTTCGAACTACTAAAATTAGTTTTCCTACTCAAAGCACTACTGAAAACTGGACCATCAAATCTTTGCATCATACTTAAAGCAAATACTGGTCTTCTATACTAACATACTAACCTATGCTCAGGCATGAACATTATACAATGAAATAACCTTTAGTTTACAACTGGGCTAGTTTGGAGTTAGGACAAGTTGGTTTCGCAAGGCTTTTATTTGACTAAATTGAGTCGTCAAATCTTATTTCATAATGCAAGGTTGCAAAACTACTGCTTCTATGTTCACAAAAAGATTGGCTCTAAAATATATACAATTCTACTAAACTATAAACCTTGCAATGTTGTTTGCATTGTAATAAAACTTCAATTTGCGATAAAAAAAATCTCGTTTACATAAAAAGTATTTTTTATTTGTAGCCTTAGAGACTAATTAAGGAAGTAGGGTTTTTTGCAGATTACCTAAAAAGACAGGGAAATTAGCTAATCCTAACGTTATTCGTGTCACAATTACAATTTTATCATTGTCCGAGCTACCGATGTACACTTCTACATGTACAAAGTTGGTGATTTGAGCTTTTCAAGACATTTTAGAGATTAGAGTACTCAAGGTACCTACACACACACACAAAATAAGATTAGTGGGAAAAATAATTAAGCCGGCAAAGATAAACCGCTGGGCCAAGCAAGTCAGTTCTCTTTCACAGTAATTCTTTTAATCAATGTTCGTATGCTGCAGAGATTGATCCTTTACATTATCCGCCAGGGACTACCTCATTGGAATTCTGCGGAAGGGCTGTTTCGTTATTCCATGGTGTGTCGTTAGTGTAATACCTGCAACAGTAATGTATAAGAAACATAAAAATTAATAAAACACATCTACTCAACACAAAAAAAGACTCCAGCTGGGCTAAGTGGCATTTAGGTTCATTTTACATGGAGGAGGGATCCTCCGGCTTTATCGTGGCGGAAGAGGTTTACTTATTTGAGTTTATCTCACCGCTAAAACTTTCCAATCAATTGGCATCACAAATGAAATGTAGGGTGCACAGCTAAAATAGGTTTGAAACTTCTTGCCTTGATGACCTATGGAATCTCGGTCTTCCCTCTTTGGTCCAAGTTTAGAACCAGTGTACTTCTGTAATTCAGTCAGTGTCAGCGAAAAGCCCTCTAGTTACGGTCAAGACTCCATACACAGTCCATAATTTGTACTTTGCAGTGTTTTCGATCAATTCTGAGATCTAGATCTCCGCCATAATATTTTTGATCCGATTATCTTTATATCAAACAAAAACCTTCCCTGGGCTGTTTGGTTCGGATTCATAACTGGAATTCTCTTCCTATTATATTCAGAAAGAAAAAAGTTTGTCAGCAAACCCTCACGATCATATTGAACCGTAGCAAATAAAAGAATATTGAATTATTTGTGCCTCATATATCAGAAAAGAGAGAAAAGAATTAAATCATTCTGTGTTGTTGTAGGGATTCGGGGCTTAGTGCTTTTTTTTTTTTTCAAATGCAAAGTCCCGCATATGCACGGGTTGACTGATAAGTACAGAGGTGTGGTCGAATGTTAAAAAGCGGTTAATTGATATTTTACCTCAGTCATAGTAAAAGCTAACTTCAGATGTAGTCAATAATGTGGCTTTTAAGGGTAAATACTGCTTTCTATTTGGTACTTAAAAGTACCAAATGCACCCAAGTTGATAAAACTGTAATACAAAAAGACCTGACAGATTTCCTATGGCTCTAATTGTCAGGAAACAATTACCTTCACTTTTCTTCACCAAAGTGAAATGACACGTCATCCCCAATCAGCATGAAAGGTGCCCACTGCCTCACTTCTGAGAAACCGTTATTTCGCATCCACTTCATGGCCCGGTGAAGACTTTCGCTTGCACTTTTCCCTTGGACAAGGTTTTCGTAGAATCTTCCCATGAACTCCTCTGTTGCTCTGTCTTGTAAGGCCCACAATGCCACCAACACTGAGCGTGCACCCGATCCTAAGAATGCTCGAGCGATTCCAACAACGCCCTCTGTTTTGATCTGTCCACGTGCGGTATGGCAACAACTAAGGACCACCAGTTTGGCTGACAGTCTAACTTGTGAAATGTCGGTCATTGACAGTAAGTAGTCTGCTTCGTGTGGAAACTCCACTGTGGAGTCAGCGGGGGTAAGAGCAATTTCTCCTCTTTCGGCATCACCATGAGCAGCGAAATGTACGAGGCTCACTGAGGGTATTCTCTGAAGAACCGCCTGCTTTGTTGCTTGCTCTCCTATTAAAAGGTGAGATTCAGGTAGTAGTCTCGCAATCATCTCTGCTTCCCCTTTCGCGCCAGGCAATGGACAGAGATACCTTAACACTCCTTTGAAATACACATCCGTCACTCTTGGCTCACCCACAATCAATGCACCAGTTTCGCTGTGAGAGTCGGCTGGACTGTCCAGAATGAGCTTGAGAGTCGTCAAAGAAGGGACAATTCGTATCCTGAAAGAATCTGATAAATAGCGGCTACTTTCATCGTGTAATGCTGCAAACGGAACTTGGAAGAAGCAGCGATCAGGAACAACAATGATTTCAGATCCTTCTAGCAAGTCACTCACGGGAGCAATCAACATGTTGTAAACCTGAAAAAGTGTTGGCGGTTCAGGGTCCGTGTATACTTCTCCCTCATCTAAAAGAGGACGCAAGGTTGAGAGACTATCTTCCAGATTTGATTCGTTTGTAAGTTGGTTGGCGAATGAAGAGAAGAGTGATCGGTCTTCGCATTGCTCTTGAGGTAAAACGTGAAATTTTCTTAATAAGCTTTCGTTTCCAAACAGGTCATACACAGAGATTTTGCCATGCTTGCTAACATAGCTTTCACAAAGTTTCGTTCTTCGGAAAGCTACCGGTTTGTTTTGTTTCAAAACCCACAAAAATATATTGTCATCGTAGTCATAGGAGATATAGAGGCAGGTGCTGTTGCCATTTTTCTTAATTACTTCCGCGATGCCAACAAACGATTGTGGGTTGATGGATATTTCTTTTTCAATGGAGCAGCGATTTGACATAAGTTCTGCTAGAGCTCTGGCCCGTCCAAGTTCAGCAGCGTGTAAAGCTTCATAGGGTTTCCCACAAGAACAACTCAATGAACAAAACAGCCGATAGGGAGACGCGTTCTCGTCAAAAAATGATTTATTGTGGCTATCTTTGCTTCCTAGAGAAGTAAGCATTTTTTCGTAAATTTGAATGCTTGACCAGAGATCCGATAAGGCTTGAGATGTGTTTCCTAGCTTTAGGTAGCGAGACGCTTCTCCGTCTTTGTCGCCAATTTCTGTGTTGGTGGTAAGTGCTTTATGAAGATTTTCTTCAGCATTTCCATATTCTCCTACATGTACAAACAGAGCTCCTAGGTGTCCGTAGCATGACGCTTCTCCGTTTCTGTCGCCAATTTCTGTGTTGATGGTAAGTGCTTTATGAAGATATTCTTCAGCCTTGCCATATTCTCCGACAGATTGAAACACATTTCCTAGGTTTCCGTAGCATGTCGCTTCTCCGTTTCTGTCGCCAATTTCTGTCTTGATGGTAAGTGCTTTATGAAGATATTCTTCAGCCTTGGCATATTCTCCGACAGAACCAAACACATTTCCTAGGTTTACGTAGCATGACGCTTCTCCGTTTCTGTCGCCAATTTCTGTGTTGATGGTAAGTGCTTTATGAAGATATTCTTCAGCCTTGGCATATTCTCCGACAGATTAAACACATTTCCTAGGTTTCCGTAGCATGTCGCTTCTCCGTTTCTGTCGCCAATTTCTGTGTTGATGGTAAGTGCTTTCTGTCGCCAATTTCTGTGTTGATGGTAAGTGCTTTATGAAGATATTCTTCAGCACTTGGTTTACATATTCTCCGTGTTGATGGTAAGTGCAGAAGATATTCTTCAAACAAACATTTCCTAGGTTTACGTAGCATGTCGCTTCTCCGTTTCTGTCGCCAATTTCTGTGTTGATGGTAAGTGCTTTATGAAGATATTCTTCAGCCTTGGCATATTCTCCGACAGATTGAAACACATTTCCTAGGTTTACGTAGCATGTCGCTTCTCCGTTTCTGTCGCCAATTTCTGTGTTGATGGTAAGTGCTTTATGAAGATATTCTTCAGCCTTGGCATATTCTCCGACAGATTGAAACACATTTCCTAGGTTTACGTAGCATGACGCTTCTCCGTTTCTGTCGCCAATTTCTGTGTTGATGGTAAGTGCTTTATGAAGATATTCTTCAGCCTTGGCATATTCTCCGACAGATTCAAACACATTTCCTAGGCGTCCGTAGCATGACGCTTCTCCCACTCTGTCGCCAATTTTTGTGTTGATGGTAAGTGCTTTATGAAGATATTCTTCAGCCTTGGCATATTCTCCGACAGATCGAAACACATTTCCTAGGTTTCCGTAGCATGTCGCTTCTCCGTTTCTGTCGCCAATTTCTGTGTTGATGGTAAGTGCTTTATGAAGATATTCTTCAGCCTTGGCATATTCTCCGACAAATTGAAACACATTTCCTAGGTTTACGTAGCATGACGCTTCTCCGTTTATGTGGCCAATTTCTGTGTTGATGGTAAGTGCTTTATGAAGATATTCTTCAGCCTTGCCATATTCTCCGACAGATTCAAACACATTTCCTAGGCGTCCGTAGCATGACGCTTCTCCGTTTCTGTCGCCAATTTCTGTGTTGATGGTAAGTGCTTTATGAAGATATTCTTCAGCCTTGGCATATTCTCCGACAGATTGAAACACATTTCCTAGGTTTCCGTAGCATGACGCTTCTTCGTTTCTGTTGCCAATTTCTGTGTTGATGGTAAGTGCTTTATGAGGATATTCTTCAGCCTTGGCATATTCTCCGACAGATTGAAACACATTTCCTAGGTTTACGTAGCATGACGCTTCTCTTTTTCTGTCGCCAATTTCTCTCTTGATGGTAAGTGCTTTATGAAGATATTCTTCAGCCTTGCCATATTCTCCGACAGAATGAAACACATTTCCTAGGTTTCCGTAGCATGTCGCCTCTCCGTTTCTGTCGCCAATTTCTGTGTTGATGGTAAGTGCTTTATGAAGATATTCTTCAGCCTTGGCATATTCTGCGACAGATTCAAACACATTTTCTAGGTTTACGTAGCATGACGCTTCTCCGTTTCTGTCGCCAATTTCTGTGTTGATGGTAAGTGCTTTATGAAGATATTCTTCAGCCTTGCCATATTCTCCGACAGATTCAAACACATTTCCTAGGCGTCCGTAGCATGACGCTTCTCCGTTTCTGTCGCCAATTTCTGTGTTGATGGTAAGTGCTTTATGAAGATATTCTTCAGCCTTGGCATATTCTCCGACAGATTGAAACACATTTCCTAGGTTTACGTAGGATGTCGCTTCTTCGTTTCTGTGGCCAATTTCTGTCTTGATGGTAAGTGCTTTATGAAGATATTCTTCTGCCTTGGCATATTCTCCGACAGATCGAAACACATTTCCTAGGTTTCCGTAGCATGTCGCTTCTCCGTTTGTGTCGCCAATTTCTGTGTTGATGGTAAGTGCTTTATGAAGATATTCTTCAGCCTTGGCGTATTCTCCGACAGATTGAAACACATTTCCTAGGTTTACGTAGGATGTCGCTTCTTCGTTTCTGTCGCCAATTTCTGTGTCGATGGTAAGTGCTTTATGAAGATATTCTTCAGCCTTGGCATATTCTCCGGCAGATTGAAACACATTTCCTAGGGTTCCGTAGCATGTCGCTTCTCTGTTTCTGTCGCCAATTTCTGTGTTGATGGTAAGTGCTTTATGAAGATATTCTTCAGCCTTGGCATATTCTCCGACAGATAGAAACCCAGCTGCTAGGTTTCCGTAGCATTCCGCCTCTCCGTTTCTGTCGCTAATTTCTGTCTTGATAGTAAGTGCTTTATGAAGATATTCTTCAGCCTTGGCATATTCTCCGACAGACTGAAACACATTTCCTAGGTTTCCGTAGCATGACGTTTGTCCGTGTTTGTCTTCGATTTCTTTGTAAATGCAGAGTGCAATTTTGAGGACTGCTTCTGCTTCCTGGTATTCACTTTTTTGAAAGTACAGTTTTGATAACATCAAGGCGGTGTTACCTTCTTTTTCTTTTCTCCTAAGATTACGAAGAAGGACTAAAAGCTTTTTGCCAGATTCTATAGCTGGTGAAAGTTTTGTAATAGCAGCATTTCCATAAAACAGCCTCTTGTTCAGCGCTATACGCACTATTGTGGCAAGTTCATGTTCGTTTTCTAAGATTTTGTTGTTTATTAGTGTTAAGCACTGGTTCCACAGCTCGATAGCCTGGACAACTCGTTTAGTGGTCCAAAGAAAATCGGCGGCAATTATGCCATGGTGAATAGCTTCTTGAACAGTGCCCATTTGGGTCTTTTCTTAAACATAAACAGGTAAAAAAACAAGACCAGAATAATTAGCAAATAGTTCTACGGAAATAGAGTTAATCTTAAATAAAAAAAATAAGGAAGCCAGTTAGAAACGTTAATAATAATAAGCTTTTGGCTTAAGAAATAGCTACGAATTCAATAAGGTTTTCTTCAAAATGTAAAGCTTTTTCTTATACGTAACGACTCTGTGGTCTGGTCAGGTGTCATTTAAAATTGTAAATTAAGCTGATGCTATCGTAGCTGTGATTCCACGAAACATTCTGTTTCGGTTAAATGGACTTATCCAGGAACACAAAGTTACGAAAGATTTCGGTTACCCGGATCATCAGAATAAAGCTACTTACATTTAAAAGCAGTTAGCTTGTTGAAGTAAATGATCATGAGTTCTGTTTATTGGAAGAATTAAAAGAACGTCTAAAAGGTTGAAAGGCATGTGACAGTACATTAAAATTCCTAACATTGATAAGCTTGCATCATTTCATTAAAAATTCGATAGAGTTTATATTGTAATATTAAGTGGCAAACAATATGTTAGTAATTAAATTGATAAATAAAGTTGGCAATCTCCTCTGAAAGGCTCAGCAGAGCTTGCTGAGATCTCCTGCTCATGTATAGCTACAAATACCAAATGTACATTATATTAGTTTTTACAATAATGCGCGAATAAAATAAAAATACATACATAATGATTTAAGACTATAAAGAAAACCTATCAGTAGAACGCGAATAATTATGTATAGGAATATATTACAATTAAGTTTAAGAAAGAGGGAACTTTCTTTAGATAACACGGCAAGAAATATGGCATTCACCGTCTCGGAAAACCCTCGGTTAATTTTCGAAAACGCGGCATTTTGCTAAAATTCTCTCGCGTTTTCCGGTCGTAAAATCCACTCTTTTCCCGTCGTTTTCTGGCCGGTGAATTTGAGTATCCGTTCCATTATCCGATAGTTTTCAGGCTCAGTTAACACCAGGAAAACGCTTGTTTTACTGGTGTTAACCGGACCGTTAACGCACGGATAATACAAGCAAAACACACGGAAAATATACGGTTAACACATGACGAACGGATCGTATTCCGTTGTTCACCGCAGTTTCCAGTGACTTAACATCGCGTTTTTTGGTGTTTTCTGGTGTTTTCAAGTGGCAAAACAAAGAATTCACAGACGTTTTCCGTCATTCTGCGTGAGTTTTCTCGCGTTTTCTGGGGCAGCGAACAACTAGAAAATGCCGGGAAACAGCATGTTCCCCAACGTTCACCCATCGGTTAATGAGATATTTTCCATCGTTTCAAAACTTTTTTCTCCAGGAAAACTCGCCGTTTTCAGTATCGAATGCGCTTATTTTCGCGCATCTTCTACGTTTCCAGTGTGATCTTACGCTGGAATGTAACTTAGTCCTTTATTCACTGGTGTTTTCGTTCAAAATTTAATATTCGTTGTTCCAGTTTTGTTTTTCCCGGCACCCGCCATAGGTGCTTTAAACGACAAATAAATACTTCGATTCTGTCCCCGATATCCGGGTATATATTCGGGTATCTATATCAATAAGACCATGTGTTAGTTTGTACATAAGCGTTAATCTAGACTTCCGTCTTCTCGTTTCCAGCGTGGCCCACTCTAAGTCTTTAATCATGTAATAATGTTGCTCCCTACAGACTGTCAGGGGAAAAGGAGGAGTGATATGATTTATCTCTCGCACCAGGCGTAAGACTTGCATAACACTAATTTTCATGAAAAGGCTTGGAGTTGACTGATGCAAGCAACAATCTTGACCGAGTGACAGTGGAACTTTTTACAAAGAGCTACAATATCGTACATCAAGTATAACGCTAAAGAGCTGGGATCAGCATGTCAAATCTTCTATTCGTTATTGAAATAACAATTCAGAAAACTCTGAAAACAATTGAGCCGCTTTTAAATATATAAATAAAATCACCTTGTTTTAGAACGTTAATCAATAAAGAAGTGAACGTGTGTAGCCTGTGGGGGTTGGGATGCGAGCACACCCCGCTGGCCTGTCTTGATCCGAGTAGTAGGTTGTTTACAAAAGAACAATTGGAACTCAAAGTCAACGTCAAATAAATTTCTGGTCACCCATCATAAAAAAATAATGATAAGGGGGATGGCATGGCGATAACGTTACAAAAAATCCGGCTAGATATATGTATATTCAACAATTATTTCTCCTAGCCCGAATGGACTCTGAGTCGATAGCCCATGAGGCCGCGGACCAAATGGTCCACTGACACAGAGGCCATGAGGGCGAGAGGAATAATTGTTTTAGTGAAATCCACAAAACAACTTTAGCTAGTTAAGCTAGACTTTAAGCCTTCTTTGCCGCCGAAAAGCCGGTGCTTTGCGCTACGTCGGCTATAACCTATATAACCTAGTAGTAGCTCAACCAATCAGAGCGCAGCATTGATAATAGACCACTAGTTGGATTTTACTAAATACTTATATCCTCGTGTACAACCCTAAAAGAGACCTTTACGGCTAAATGTAATGACATTTTCACCTGACCAGAACACCCTAAATGAGAAAAAGATCCCAAATTTACACCCCTAAGAGAGACGACGAGCATCGCCGTCCCTTTCATATAAGAGTCCCCTCCCCTGGGGCTTTAACATACCTGTAACAGTACTATCTGGAATATACTGGAGTGTACAAACTACAAACGGGGATATTTTGAGAAGAAGAAACACGTGCAGCCATGCTAGCTTCGTGACCTGTTGCGACAACGATGCGACAACGTGCAAGGTCTGGAAGCGACAACGTGGAAGACAGTTTTCAAAGGGGAGAAGTTGAATATGAACTCGTATAATTCAAAGAAAGTAATATTTACATCTTGGTGATTCGCGCGCCCCCGTCCCTCCCCCCCCCCCCCCCCACCCACCCATCCATTTTGTAATACCAGAAGTCCCCATGGAATGCGGTTACAACTTGGAAGCAACAACTTGCAGGAGGCCACGACATGTGACCCCTCGGCTTCCGTATTACCTTTGTCATTTTTTGCAGGCACTTCGCAGCCGTTTTCTTCGTTCAAAGACTCGTGGATATTGTTGTGTTTTGTTGTTTAGTACTGTGATGGAAACGGATTTGCCTCCTGGCTTGCAGTCAGAATGTTCCAGAAGAGACGAGGTAAGCCTTATTTGACCATTTGAAGAGTGAGCCGACCACGTGCCTCACCTGGCCTCATTGAAGCTTTCGTATAATTTGGACCTACTGTACTTTAATACCTTTTTTGGTTTCATAATTTCTTTTTGGACACGCACCTTTCCAAAATATAACCAGACGATCAATGTTAAATTAAATACTGAATAGCGATGCCACTCCGTAATTCACTGATTGTCTGGTATTATTTCTTCCAGGATACAGACGCAGTTCCTCGCTTCTTTACAAAAGATGGGCAAACATATTCGGGGAAAGCGAAGAAAGTGACTGAGTTTGCCAATTTCTCCCTGAAGATTATAGGACAATTGCGAGAAGGGCCAAACGAGGCATTGGGAATTAGGAACAAAGAGGGTCGCTGGCTGGTCAGCCTAACTGGCTACGTGTTTTCAAAGCAACAAACCAGGTGATGTTCTGCATTTGTTAATGATCATTGATGGACTGCAGATTTGGCTCCATATTTTTAGCTGTTTCGTTCGGGATCAGCGGAGTGAATTATACAGCTATTACTATACTTGCGACAAATCGACCTCATGTTTGACAGAATATATATAGCTCAGAAAAGGTCAGAAAGGTCTCATGAAAGGTGAAGACCTTGCAATTTTAAAACAAACTACCCACTTTTGAACTCACAAGCTTTCGCAATAGAAGCTACCCTCTCGCTCTCATTGAAAAAAATTACCTCGGAGGTTAAATTTGCTGAACGGAAGTCGGCTTAATTCAAAACAGTAAAGTGTGAAAAAAAAATCTGGCTTTTGTTCAGATACAATGTAACCCCGCCTTTAACGCGCAAGATGTCTTGCATGTGATCTCTAGTTGATATCGGCGAGGAGGTTGGAGCAGACACGAAGTGCAAATTAAAGAAGTCCGTGATCAGTTATTTTCATAATGTGGAATTACAGAAAATGTATGGGAAAATCAAGGTTTTCTAAAAACTGATCACGGACTTCTTTGCACTCCGGTTTTAGTGAATTGCTTCTTTGAACTAGTTAATTACTCTTTTCAAAGAGAAAGCATCAAATACATGAATTCAGGAAGAAATAGCGCGTTTTGAATTTTAATATAAATCTTCTATTAAAAAATTTCCCGCCATCTTGCCCTGATTACCCATAATGCATATATAAGGGTGAACTCCTGTGAAGAAAAATCCGGACACACTTTTCCAGAGTGAAACAGATTTTTCTTTTTAAAGGCTCATAGCTCTCAAAGGGAGTAGCTTTGATGGTAAAAAGCAGCTGTTGGAGGCCTTGAGGAGGCGATTTCCGGATAATCTTTCTTACTCTGTTGTTTGCAACCCTGAGTTTGAGTTTCACTGATTTTAATGTTGATTTTGAGTTTTACTGTTCATTAAGTACTACCTATTCAATCCAAAAAAGTCATAGCATTTTTGCTGGCTAAAATTCACCTGAAGCCTGGTTATTTGATCTTGGGATACAAGGAGGATCTACAGGAGCTACCGGTCGAATGGTCAAATCCTACCCGACAAAGCTCCCCCCGGACAATAAACAATGAACAGACCTTTATTGGGTTACAGGATCACTGAGTTGGCCTTGGATCATGAAAAGTCTAGAGCTACGAAGAAAAAACTAAGGTGGTGAAACAAATTAACATGCAGCATTTATCCTTCTGGACTGGGTTGCTCAAAGATGGGTTAAGTTAACACAAGGTTAGGTCCAGTAGTCAGATCATTTACTGTATTTTTTGTACATCATACTAAAAAATCAAATTTGGTCCAAAATAAAAAGTTTTGTGGATTTCAAACTCAGGGTTGTGATTATTCACTTGTACATAATTTCCTCATGGCCAT